GTGTGTCACTGTAGTTCCAACTACTTGGGAGGCTGAGGCAGGAGAATCACTTGAACCCGGGAGGCAGAGGCTGTAGTGAACTGAGATCATGCCACTGCACTCCAGCCTGGGCAACAGAGTGAGATTCCGTCTCAAAAAGAAAAAAAAAGGAAAAAAAAAAAGCGTCTAAGAAAAACATAGGCAAAGGTTAAGGATCTAGGCATTCTGGGAAAGAGCAATTAGTACGTGGCGCACGTGACTTGGGAAGCTACTCAGAGACCAAAACAACAACAAAAACCCATATAAACAAAAGAATCTGCTATTATTATAAACTGGTATCACAGCCAGGTGTGGCAACCCATGCCTGTAATCTCAGCACGTTGGGAGGTCAAGGCAAGAAGACTGCTTGAGGCCAGGAGTCCCAGACCATCCTGGGCAAAATAGTGAAACCTGTCTCTCAAAAAAAAAAAATTACCTGGGCCTGGAGATGCACACCTATAGTCTCAGCTATTCAGGAGACTAAAGCAGGAAGATTACCTGAGCCCACGATGTTAAGGCTACAGTGAGCTATGATCATGCCACTACACTCCAGCCTGGGTCCTGGGTGACAGAGTGAGACTCTGTCTTAAAAAATAAAAAATAAAAAGGCCGGTCGTGGTGGCTCACGTTTGTAATCCCAACTTTGGGAGGCCAAGGCGGGTGGATCACTTGAGGTCAGGAGTTCGAGACCAGCCTGGCCAACATGGTGAAACCCCATCTCTACCAAAAATATAAAAAATTAGCTGGGTGTGGTGGCATGTGCCTGTAATCCTAGCTACTCAGGAGGCTGGGGCAGGAGAATCGCTTGAACCTAGGAGGCGGAGGTTGTAGTGAGCCAAGATATAGTGCCATTGCACTCCAGCCTGGGCAACAAAGCAAGACCCTGTCGAGGGAAAGGAGAGGAAAAGGAGGGGGAAAGGAGGGGGAAAAGAGGGGGAAAGGAGGGGGAAAGGAGAGGGAAGGGGAGACAAAAATTAAAAAATAAACTGATACCCCTAAAAGACATCTCTTATATTCCCAGTGGACAAATTTAAGGAAAATTAAATCTGAAAGGTGTTTAAAAAAAAAAAAAAAACCACTGCTGTAGCCATTTCATTCTGCTTCACAGCAACCAAGTTAAAAGAGGTTTTTCTAAAGATACAGTTTTAAGCAGAAGTTGGCTAAAATTCAAGGTTCTCTAGTGAGAGAAGTCCCTCTGTTACCACTGTCCCTCAGGTCTTTCCTAATATTCAAAGTTGGGCTTCCTGAGCAACCCAAGACCTGCCATCTCTTGCCATATCTAAAAGGTAAATTTTCTCATTTTATCCCAGGGACAAAAGAAACTTAAGGTAACTTTAATGTGAGACCGTTCCCATAAGCAGAAAATAAAAGCAATTAACAACAACAACAACAAAGACCTACAATATTTTCTAGGATTTGAGGCCAGAAAAGTAGAGTTGGTTGGTATCAACACAGTTCTTCCCTTCAGGGCTTTAGGGTTTATTTCTATTCTTAAACTCTTTAATGAGTACAAACTATTCGAAAACATCTCGAGGCAGATTTTGCTTTCCCAACCATTTCATCCTGTCCTTCTACCTTAAGCCCTGATGAAGAGATTTCAAAAACTCCCTTTGAGTGTATTAGAAAAGCTTAGTAACTGACTTTACGACTACAACTCAAAAATGTTTACAAGATCTTTAGATAACAGTGTATGTGCAGAAAGATGAGGAAACCTCTGACCAAGAAGTCTAGACACAGATCAAGTGCCCAGGAGGGCAGAGCCAGTCCTTAAATATAGACACCATGCCTCCTGTGTTTACAGGGATAGCTCATAGTTACAGCCATCAGGGTTGGATTGCCTCCGAAAGCAGGTCCTACAAACTCCCAAAGGACAGGGCCTGGCAGTATACCCCACTCTCACCACCATCCTATGAAGAAAGTTCTAAGAGTTAAGGTTATCCCACAGGTTACCAGGTAGATTTCCAAATGGCCTCAGGGAAAGTGGAATTCTGCCAACAGTGAAGGCAACTCCCCAAACAGTGCCAACGCTGAGAGGATCAAGGGAAGGACTTTGATATGCACATATATGCATGGATAAAAGAGTTAAGCTATGTAACATGAAACACCAAAAATATACTTGCTGGTACATCAAGAGTTTCTCACAAACACTCTGAAGTTAAAATCTAAAATGCTCCATTTTTTACCCAAAATATAAACTACTCAACCTCATTTTGTGTTATATACTAACACAGAAATGAGTTTTTTAAAAAAGTTGGCTGCTATCCTAAAGCAAACAGTTTATGTTTTACACATAAAAAATTTATTTGCATAAAAGTCTTTATGGAACTAAAAAATATGTTCTCTACAACACCAAGGATCATTAAAATATTTTAAATATTAATATACATTTCTTCTGTCAGAAATAATAAAACTTTATTATATCAGTATTAAACAACAAAACCCTGTTGACATACATATAAAATGTTTTACAAACAGAATAACCTACATATTCAAAACACTTTCAACAAATTTTTCACTTTTATTTTTTGGGGTATTGTACAGACTCGAATGGATTGAGGATTGCTTCAATTAGGACAATCATTTTTTGTAATTCCAGTCTTTACAACTTAGTATGTATGCAATCGTACTGTTGATGAAATAGAAAATGATAATGTTTTCCATCTCTTAGTAATCTTGTAATGGAACAGAAAACTATGGTGTGTTTGCATTTCTTGCAGGAATAGCTGTTATAAAGAAACATTAGGGCTTGCTTCTTCTGTCATTGATATCTGAATGCTTTTAATATGCTCATCCCAAGTGTTGAATAATGGCCTACTCTGTTTACCTGGGATGTGCTACTTCTTAAACACGAGCTGATGATGTGTAGCCTTTCACATTAATGGATGAGGTAGCTCAACCAATGTAATCATCAATGCTTGAAGTGAGGGGAAAAGGAAGAAAACAGAAGCATTTTTCCTATCAACCAAAATGCACATCCTTCTCACCCATCCATCATACAGCTTTGGAGAGCTAAGAGGAAAGAAGACATACAGACTAGAAGATGATTCTTGAGAGAGCAAATGAGAGACAATGGATGAAAACGCCTCACTTAAATGTGGTTCAGTACTCAAAATTCTGCAGTCAGGTCGTCACATTTTCATTTACATTTCTATTTTCTAACTTTCTAAATTACAAGAATCATTTCAACAGATACCACACAACACATATATACAGGATATAGTACAGCACTGGGCATCAACTTAAAATACTCATGAGGTACACATGAATGTAAGGCACTTTCGCGGTTTACAAAAGTGAATGCCTCAAAGTTAGATATTTATCAAAAATGGAAAAATATCCCTACACAACTTTATAGGAGCCCTGAAAAATCAAGTAGGTATGAATCATTAGCAATCTTGGCCAACATTTTGAGAGTCTTAGTGTGACTAAAGATCAGAGATATAATATATAAATAAACTTAAAATTAGAGTTCTATACATCAGTGTCAGGATTCTAAAACTGCTCTCATAAAAATCTATCTCTTCTAAGTTATTTCAGTTCTCAGCCACAGAGACTGAAGAGCAAGACAACTACTCAGTGTACCACTGTTTACATTTCATGATACCATACCACATCAGTTATAAAGAGACTGAAAATAATAAAGGTTTTGAGTTTGTTTTGTTATTTCTGACAAATATTATAACTAAGATAGAAACTTATTCAAACTACTCAAAAATGTAAATTTTATGTATTTTCTTGAAATCATGAATTTTTAATTTCTAAATACAAATATTGTTGCTCTAAATAATGTGAGTTTTGTGACTCTTCGAAATTAAAAGAATGCAACCTACAATATGATGTATTTCCTTGTCTGTGAGAGACCAAACGAGCTTAGGTAGTATAATGCTAAAAAACTGATTTAAGGAAATAACCCATTTTTATGCCATCGTTCTCCAAAATTCTTGAAAAGCTAAATCTTCTCTAGGTCATAGTTGGTAAGGACAGGTCATTAACAAAGTCAGGGATTCAGGGCTGGGTGCAGTGGCTCACACCTGTAATCCCAGCACTTTGAGGCTGAGGCGGGTAGATCACCTGAGGTCAGGAATTCAAGTCCACCCTGGCCAACAGGGCAAAACCCCATCTTTACTAAAAATACAAAAAAATTAGCCAGGCATGGTGGTGGGCACCTGTAATCCCAGCTACTTGGGAGGCTGAGGTAGGAGAATCGCTTGAACCTGGGAGGCAGTGGTTGCAGTGAGCCAAGATTTCACCATTGCACTCAAGCCTGGGCAACAAGAGTGAAACTCCATCTAAAAAAAAAAAAAAAAGTCAGGGATTCAGGACAGATAAAACTGTATCTTGCCTCTTTATTCACAAAGTAAATAAGCATGGAATTTATATTTTGTTGTTGTTTTTATTTTTTGAGTCAGGGACTGACTTTGTTGCCCAGGCTGAGGTATAGTGGCACGAACACACCTCACGGTAGCCTTGACCTCCCGGGCTCAAGTGATCCTCCTGCCTCAGCCCCTCAAGTAGCTGGGACTACAGGCACACACCATCATGCCCAGCTAATTTTTGTATTTTTTGTAGAGATGGGGTTTCATTCACCATGTTGCTTAGGCTGGAATTTTTTTTTTTTTTTTTTTTGAGACAAGATCTTGCTCTATCATCCAGCCTGGAATGCAGTGTCATGAACATAGCTCACTGGAGCCTGGACCTTCTGGGTTCAAGTGATCCTCTCACCTCAGCCTACTATGTAGCTGGAACTACAGAGGCACCACACCCAGCTATTTTGTAGAAACAGCGTTTTGCCATGTTGCCCAGGCTGGTCTCAAACTCCAAGGCTACAATCTACCTGCCTTGGCCTCTCAAAGTGCTGGCCACGGTCCCAAGCCTAACATTTTGAAAATTATTATTATGTTTTCTCTTGCTCTGTCACCCAGGCTGGAGGGCCAGCTCACTGCAACCTCTGCCTCCTTGGTTCAAGTGATTATCCTGCCTCAGCCTCTCGAGTAGCTGGGATTACAGGCATGTGCCACCATGCCCAGCTAATTTTTGTAGAAAATTATTATTTCTATGTTATATCATTTTAACAATTCAGTGGTTATCTTTGACCTAAAAATGAAATTTTAAAAACCATTTTTTAAATTAAAGAATGCAATTAGTACATTCTTGTTGCTGACATGGAGATTACAGTGCATACCTAGCTCCTTTCATTATTTACAATTCAAATCTTTGTTGTACTTCATCTGCAATCATTCCAGAAATTGCAAGGGAAGAAGTAGCAGCAGGGGAAGGTGCATTTCTCACATGAAGAACACGATTTCCAATATTCCCAACTCCTGCATCAAATACAAAATCTTCTACCAGATTTCCATCTCTATCCAGGGCTTGGGCTCTTACTCCAGCTGGGCCCCTGCAAAAGTGAAAGATGGGAGTCAGCTGACTCAAAGACATAGGATACTTTACACGTCAGTGTTTCCAAAGAGTCTTAAAGCAATATTCTTCTAAATGCACAATTACATGGAAACCTAATGAGCTTATGTTTAACCAAAGGCTGTCAGTTGTAGCCTGTCAAACCTATATTGTTAACTTAGAGCCTAAAACCTATTATATAACAATAGTATAATAAATGCTCATCAAAGAAATACATAAAAACAAGTAAGTTACTTATCAATGTCTCCTCTTTCCAAAGGTAGTAGGTAAATCCACACTTAACTAGAACAGGTATATTTTTATTTAAATTTATAGAATGAATTTATTATAAAAATCAATCAATGGCTACAACGAGCCTCATCTGAGTAATACAAATCAATGAAAGCAGAGGTTATGTGTCAGTTGCATTCCTGTATCCTATTCTACTTATTTTTGTATTTTTAAAATTCACACGATTAAAATTTATGGACAGAAATATTTGCAAATGGCAACAAGTTCTTGTTTTGCAGTTTGTTTTTAACAGTTTACTCTTCAATATCAGGATCATCTTCAATTTAAAAAGATGATAGGAAAAGCATAAAAATGAAGTAATTTAGCAGCATATTAATAAAATGAGAATTTTTTTTTTTTTTAATTGAGATAGAGTGTTGATCTGTTGCTCAGGTTGTGTACACAACCTCGCCTGGCTAATTAAAATTTTTTTTTTTTGTAGAGACGAGGTCTCACTATGTCACCCAGGCTGGTCTCAAACTCCTGGCCTCAAGTGATCCTCCCACCTTAGCCTCCCAAAATGCCAGGATTATAGGTGTGAACAACTGTAAAGACACTGATAGTCTTTATTACTTAAAATTCTATTTTATAACATTTGAGCTCACAGATTTTTGTTGTTTTTTAAAACAGTTAAAATTTACAGATGAAATTTGAATCCAATGTTTTTGAACTACAAAAAAGCACCTCTTATGAAACTTGTCCAAGGAAGCCCAGTGTGAAAAATTCTATCTTATACACACCAGCAAGTACTTGCAGAAGATGCAAAGAACACTATGAGGGCACTGCCCTCTAAGACTTCAGCTGGCTGAAGAAAGATAATAGTAATAGCTATTATTTAGTAAGTGCTTACTCTGTGCTAGGAATTACCTCATTTAATCCTCAAAACAACTGACACAGTTTATATTTAACAGCAAAGAAACAAAGAGAGATTAAGTAACTTGCCTGAAATCACAGAGCTATACTACTCATTCTTAGAGAGGTAAATAAGAATTATAACAATAAGAGTAAAAGGTTGTATGATAAAGATAAGTGATCTTCCCTATAGAATCCTGCAGGGAAACTGGACAGGAGATTTTTCAGCTGTAAGAATTTCCGAGTAAGAATCAGATATGGGAGCAGGCGGAGCAAGATGGTGGAACAGAAGCCTACAAACATTGGTTCCCGTTAGAACACCAAATTTTTAACTATCTGCACACAGCAAAGCACCATCACAAGAACCAAAAACCAGGTAAGCAATCACAGTGGCTAGTTTTTACTTCATATCATTGAAAGAGGCATTGAGGAGGGCAGAAAAGATGGTCTTGCATCACCAATGCCACCCCTTCCTCACCCCCTAGAAGCGGCCATGCGGTGTGGAGAGAGAACCTATGCACTTGGGAAAGGGAGGGCACAGTGGCTGGGAGCCTTTACATTGAATTTAGTGCTGCCCTGTCACAGTGGAGAATAAAGCCGTGCTGGGCTCAGCCAGTGCCAGCACATGGAGGGAGCATTTGGACCCGCCCTAGCTAGACAGAAAGCATCCATCCCAGTGGCCAGAACTTGAGTTTCCCTGCAAGCCTCACCACCGTGGGCTGAAATACTCTGGGGTCCTAATCTTGAAAGACAGTCTAGGGCACAAGGACTCCAATTCCTAGGCTACTAGCACTAGGCTGGGCTTATAGTAATTGGACTAGGGTAGCATGTGATCTAGGGAGATACCAGTTGGCATAGCTAAAGGAGTGCTTGCATCACCCATGCCCCAAACCAAGGCAGCTGCAATAGAAGTGACTCCTTTCTTCTGCTTAAGGAGCAAAGAGCAAAGAGTAAAAAGGACTGTCTTACATCTTGGATTCCAGCTCAGCCACAGTAGGATACGGCACTGGGCAGAGTTGTGAGGCCCGCATTATAGGCCCTAGGTCCTGAACAACATTTCTTTTTTTTTTCGAGACAGCATCTCGCTCTGTCACCCAGGCTGGAGTGCAGTGGGTTCACCTCCTGGGTTCACGCCATTCTCCTGCCTTAGCCTCCTGAGTAGCTGGGACTACAGGCGCCTGCCATCACGCCCAGCTAATTTTTTTTTTTGTATTTTTAGTAGAGACAGGGTTTCACCGTGTTAGCCAGGATGGTCTCGATCTCCTGACCTCGTGATCCACCCGCCTTGGCCTCCCAAAGTGCTGGGATTACAGGCGTGAGCCACTGCGCCCAGCTGCTCCTGAACAGCATTTGTATACCCACCCTGGGCCAAAAGGGAACCTACTGCTTTCGAGGGAAAAACCCAGTCCTTGCAGGATACATCACCTGCTGACTAAAGAGCCCTTGGGCCCTGAATAACCAGCAGTGATAACCAAGGAGTGTGTCATGGGCCTTGGATGAGACTCTGAGATGTGCTGGTTTCAGGTGTGACCCAGCACATTCCCAGCTGTGGTGGCTACAGTGAAAGACTCCTTCTATTTGAGAAAAGCAGAGAGAAAAGTAAAGGGACTTTGTCTTACACCTTAGGTACCAGCTCAGCCACAGTGAGGTAGAGCAACAAGCAGGTTCTTGGGGTCCCCAAGTCAAGGCTTACACTCTTTTTTTTTGTTTTTTGTTTTTGTTGTTGTTGTTGTTGTTTGAGATGGAGTCTCACTCGGTCGCCCAGGCTGGAGTGAAGTGGTGTGACCTCAGTTCACCGCAACGTCTACCTCCTGGGTTCAAGCGATTCTCCTGCTTCAGCCTTCCAAGTAGCTGGGATTACAAGCACACTCCACCACACCCAGCTAATTTTTGTATTTTTAGTAGAGATAGGGTTTCGCCATGTTGGCCAGGCTGGTCTCGAACTCCTGACCTCAGGTGATCCGCCCATCTTGGCCTTCCAAAGTGTTGGGATTACAGGCGTGAGCCACCGCGTCCGGCCCAGGCCTACACTCTTGAGCAGCATTTCTAGAACTACCCTGGGCCTGAGGGAGCCCACTGCCCTGAAGGGTAAGTCCCAGGCCAGGCAGCTTTCACCACAAGCTGATGGAAGAGCCCTTGGGCTTTGAGTGAATATTGGTGGTGGCCTGGCAGAAACCCTGTGGACCAAAGGTGGTGGCAGCCACAGGGAGTGGCCCCTCTGCCTGTGGAAAGGGGAGGGAAGAGTGAGAAGAACTTTGTATTGTGGTGTGAGTGGTAGTTATCCATAGTAGAACAGAACATCAGGTAAACTACTAAGATATTTGACCCTAATCTCTGGCTTCCCGACAGCATCTCTGGACATGCCTGGGGCCTGAGGAAGCTTACTGCCCTGAAGGGAAGGGCCCTGGGCAAAAGCCAGTGCTGGGCTGGCTTCAGGTCTGACCCAGTGCACTCCCAGTGGTGGTGGCCACAGGAGTGCTTGCATCACCATAACCCCAGTTCCAGGGGGTTTAGCACCGAGAGAAAGAGACTCCATTTATTTGGGAGGAAGTAAGGGAAAAGAATAAGAGTCTCTGCATGGTGATCCAGAGAATTCTTCTGGATCTTATCCAAGACCACTAAGGTGGTACCTCTACATGTCTACAAAAAACACAGTGTTATTGGGCTTGTGACTCAAGTTCCTTTGACTACCTGGAAAGCATTCCCAAGATGGACAGGTATAAACAAGCTCAGACTGTGAAGACTACAATGAGTACCCAACTCTTCAATGCCAAGACACCAAAGAACATCTACTAGCATCAACACCATCCAGGAATGTATAACCTCCTCAGATAAACTAAATAAAGCACCAGAGACCAATCCTGGAGAAACAGAGACACATGACCTTTCTGACAGATAATTCAAAATAGCTGTTTTGAAGAAACTCAAAGAAATTCAAGACAATACAAAAGGAATTCATAATTCTTTCAGATGAATTTAACAAAGGGATTGAAATAATTAAAAAGAAACAAATTCTAGAAATGAAAAATGCAACTGACATGCTGACGAATGTATCAGAGTCTCAATAGCAGAACTGATCAGGCAGAAGAATTTGTGAGCTGAAAGACAGGCTATCTGAAAATACATAGTCAGATGAGACAAAAGAAAAAAGAATAAAAAACAATGAAGCATGCCCACAAGATCTAGAAACCATTCTCAAAAGGGTAAATCTAAGAGTTATTGGCCTAAAAGAGGAAGTATAGAAACATACAGCGGTAAAAAGTTTATTCAAAGGGATTATAACAGAGAACTTCCCAAACCTAGAAAAAGATATCAACATTTGAGTACAAGAAGATTATAGAACCCCAAGTGCATTTAATCCAGAGAAGACTACCTCAAGCCATTTAATAATCAAACTCCCAAAGGTCAAGGATAAAGAAAGAATTCTAAAAGCAGCAAGAAAAAAGAAACAAATAATATACAATGGCACTCCAATACGTCTGGCAGCAGACTTTTCAGTGGAAACCTTACAGATCAAGAGAGAGTGGCATGACATGTTTACAGTGCTGAAGGAAAAAATGCTTTTACTCTAAAATAGTATATCCAGTGAAAATATCTTTGAAGCGTGAAGGAGAAATACTTTCCCAAACAATAGCTGAGGGATTTCATCAACACTAGATATGTCCTACAAGAAATACTAAAAAGAGTTCTTCAATCTGAAAGAAAAGGATGTTAATGAGCAAGAAGAAATCATATAAAGGTACAAAACTTCCTGGTAACAGCAAGCACACAAAAAAACACAGGATAGTATAACACTGTAATTGTGGTGTGTAAACTTCTCATCTTACATAGAAAGACTAAATGATGAATCAATCAAAT